GAGCTTGGGAAGTAACGAAGTGCTCTATCATGATTTCTAGGTTAGATTTCCTAGGAGTATTAGGTCCATTACCAGGATGATTTGGGATAGCTTTTGGATAACCGGGTGGTGTGGCAGGAGCTTGTCCAGGCGCGTAGAACGCGTTGTTACTTTTGTATGAAAAATTCGGATGATTTTTCCAACCAGGGTTATAGGTATTGCTATAAGGGTTCCCTTGTACGTAATTTGCTTGTTCAGCTGGAACTCCTGTTAGAAGTGGGCATTCTGGAGCAAGATGTGATTGAAGACCACATAGATCGCAAGTTTGGACAACTGCAGCCACGGTAGCTGCAGGAGTAGTGGTAAGGTTTTCTAGCTTTTGGGTAAGAGCTTCCACTTTAGCGTTGACTTGGTCTAGAATATTCACTTCAGACATTCCACCTTTGGTTTGGGATTTCTCCACATTAGTTCTTTCGCTTCCCCATTGATAGTGGTTTTGGGCCATACTTTCGATAAGTTGATTTGCTTCGGCATATGGTTTATCCATCAGTGCGCCACCAGCAGCGGCGTCTATAGTCATTCTTGTGTTATACAAGAGACCGTTATAAAACGTATGAATGATTAGCCATTCTTCTAAACCATGATGAGGACAGAGTCTAATCATATCCTTGTAACGTTCCCATGCTTCGAAAAGTGATTCGTTATCTTTTTGTCTAAAACCGTTGATGTTAGCTCTAAGCATAGCAGTTTTGCTTGGTGGGAAATATCTAGCCAAGAAGACTTTTTTCAATTCATCCCATGTGGTGATTGAATTTGAAGGAAGAGATTGGAGCCAGGCTCGGGCTCTGTCTCTTAAAGAAAAAGGAAATAGGCGCAATCGTATCGCCTCGGGGTTTACACCATTCGCTTTTACAGTGTCTGCGTACTGCACAAACACTGACAGATGTAGGTTAGGGTCGTCAGTAGGAGATCCAGAAAATTAGTTCTGCTGAACGGCGGATAGAAGTGAAGGTTTCAGCTCGAAATCGTTTCGAGCGATAGCAGGGGCGACAATGCTGTTGTGAGGCTACGCTTGCGAAGGAACTGCGTAGTCCTTAAGAGCGCGAGGCGGATTTGGTACGTCATCCATTGTCGATTCTTCGGTAGATTCTGATAACGGGATATCAGGAATTTTAGTCGGAGGAAGATTGTTGAGAGATCGGTATTCTTGAATTTGGCGTCTTAATCTTAAGTAACGCTCAATATCGTTAATTTGTAAATGCAAAGGCTCGTTTTGAGAACGAGTGTTTGGCATACAACAGAGGGAAATATAAAAAGTTGCCTTAGTCTAGACAGCGTTGTTTTCAGATTACACTAGTGACTAAACTAAAGTCCCCGACAACGGCGCCAAAAACTTGATGTGTCTGCGATTGACCTAATGTGTCTAACAGTATCTTAACTGCAAGTGCACAGTCTATCACGGTAGTAATAAAAAGATGTCGAACCCACAGGGACTTCGTAATCACTCTAGTGTTATAAAACAGGTTAGTTTAGCTAAGGCGGAAATTGTCACGTTTGGTTTTTTAGAAGGTTAAAACTAAAGGGAAACTAAATTCAATTAAGGGAATTAATATTAAAGTGGTCAGAGCATAATGATTTGAACCTATGCGAATTAAGTTGTACCTAATCATATAAAAATATTTAACTTAATTGTTCTGTAGTACTTATCAGTTTAAAAACCCTCGATTCACACTCTCGTGGTCTTACCTCGGATCATACTCCTAAAGCCAAATGTCTGCTCTCGCTAGTCCATAAGTGTTTAGAAAGCATCTTTTTGAAAACTAAATAAGTCTAATTCGTTTTAAAGCGCTCTCGCTGTATTTAAATCAAATGCCTAACTTTAGCTATCCGGTTAAAACCTCACACTCTCGTGGTCTTGATTTCTCTCTATTTCACTTTCTTTACTCTCGTAATAAAAAGCTTAATTTTTAATTATAAAAAGTCACGGCCAGAAATTAAGTTGATTAAGGTTTTAGCTTAGAAAAAACATTAATTTATTCGGTTATTTCATCACACCCCGACTACGGGTATTTAGCTACTCATAATGCTCGGAATTAAAAAGCAGGAAATAAATTCAGAAAACAATAGCGCATGCATAATAAATAAAGAACAGAAATATAACATAAATAAAATTTGCAATTATATTGAATACAATAAAAACCTGAAAAGCAATAAAATCCGAGATCCTTCTTCCACAAGCCGGCAAGATTGGAACGTCGAAATGAAAATTCAAATGGACGAAATTCGGAAATAAAATCGAGATTAAAAATCGGCAGAGCTTCCGCAAGGTTTTTGTGAACTAAACTCTCCTCCCTTTTCTTTCTAAGTCTAAGCTATATATAGAGAATAAAAGTACGGTTGGAATTATATCTGAGTTCCTAGATTCTTGGTTTTACTGAGAAAAATGAGGAGAATGTGGCCTTGGAAGTTGGAGAGAATTTAGGCACGTATGCATGCTTTGCTTGACCACTTCATTTTGCTTTACCACGTTCTGTTGCTTGACCACGTTCAAAATTTAACACTTATAAACTTGTTACGGGCGTGGCTGGGGCGTTACGCGCAGTTTGCATGAAATAACGCGTTACGGTCGTGGCAGGGGCGTGACGAGCGTAACGCGCGTCTGAAGCGTCTTACGGTCGTGGCAAGGGCGTGACGACCGTAATGGTAGCAATTATGGATTTCTTGACAGATTTATCTTTTCTCTTTGGTCTTGGCCGCAATCTCGCACATTTCACGTTTCTTCTTAGTTTGAGCTGAGATATGTTGTACCTGCATAAAACCATACAAAACTCGGAATATTCGAGAGTTAATCGGGTAAATACGACATAAAACGGATAAATTTTATGGTAAATATATGATATGATTTCGCGTTATCACCTACACCCCTAGGTCATGATGACCCATACACATAGGCCATCATGTCACATTAGAAGCTATGACACGTGGCTCTGGGAGCAAGCGCTGACCAGATCCTTCGACTCTACGAGTCGAGCACTTCCCCAAGACACGGTCGCGGGGACCATCAGGAAAGCTCTCTAAGAGAATACTCCAAACTCTCGACCACGGGTACGTTGACTACGACCTCTTGGCCGATCAACTGCCTTCGAGCTAAACCAATCAACAATGAAGATTACTTAGCTTGAGGACCACATCTCCTTTATCCGAATGTCCTGAACCTAAAAGTCATAGCTCATATACTTAGGAGCAACGACTTGGGAGACTCCTGTTCTGGACTGGGCATGCGCTAAATCTACCGTAGGGCAAGCCCCAACCCAATATCGCTAGAGGCCCAATAACCTGTTGGGGACCAGACCTGCACTTGCTCCCTAGTCGGGCACATCCACCATAATACCCGAAAGGCTACGACCTGTCGAGGATCTCCCCTCAAAGGGCCTGTCGAGGATCTCTCCTATAAGGGCATGTCGAGGATTTCTCCTCTAAGGGAACGTCGAAGACCTCTGACACAAGCACGTCGAGGACAACTCCACCCCGTATCCGTTGAGGACTTCTTCCCCATGTCTCCACCATGAAAACGTGGCCAACGGTCCTCCAAATACCATGGACTCATCCTGCTCCCGAAAAGAACGAGTCTTCACCCTGATAATCGCGGAGCAGTTGAACCAGGATAAGGACCATAGACTGGTCCCACCTACTCACGTAGAGTCCTGATAGTCTCCATTATATGCCTGAACATCCAGCACAAATGAGGACCTTGATCCAACGCTGGAGGCTATAATTGTTTACTATCCACTTATAGTCTCTGCTTGCACTACTATTCAGATACTTACTTTGACATCAAAGCATCTTGCAGGTACCCCCACCTCACTTTCAACTACCGCACAATTACAGTTCGTGGACCATTGACGATCCATTCTGATCATGTACGATTATATATATATATATATATATATATATATATATATATATATATATATATATATATATATATATATATATATATATATATATATATATATATATATATATATATATATATATATATATATATATATATATATATATATAATTTCAGCAACTCCTTAATTTCCTCCTTACTTTTGTTAAACTAAAAACAATATATTTAGTTGACCAATACAATTTTAGAGGAACAAAATTATAAAAGATAATAATTCATGTGAACAAATAATATAGTGTAATTTAGAGAAGATGTCCGTTAAACAATTTTGAAAAATTGAAAAAAAGAACAGACACGTTACATTAAATTGTTCGAAGAGGAAAAAGAATTCCAACAAGAACAAAGAAAGAACGAAAAACCATAGGGTTTGAAAATAAACTTGTTCAGTCCGCCTTTTATGTTTGAACAGATTCACCACCCACCTTAACGTCCCCACTCTTGCAACGTTTCGCTTTCTTCTTCTTCTTCTTCTTCTTTTTCCGTTTCGATTCTTTCTAACAACACTGTTAATCTTTTATTTTATATATATGTATTAATCGTTCTTCAAAAAATTACCTTGTTCTTGGATCTGAAGATGCAAATTGCGGATTTCTTTATTCTTTTTGGTATCAAATTCAGTTTGGTGAGTTTTCGTTTCTCTGCATTTGCCCTAATTGTTTTTTGAGTTTGATTTCAGTTGATTTTTATGCTTTTCAGTGACGAATTTATGGAATCTTAGATTTCTTTAGTTGTTTCTGATTACTCAAATTTGAATTTTTTGTGTTTTGTTTGTTCAGTTTCTAGGTTTTATACAGCGTTGACTAATCTAGCTATCTATTAGGGCTTGAGAAATTATTAGTGTTAAATTTTTTATTTTTTTTATTGTTGGGATTGATTTTTCAGGTGAATTAGAATGTTGAATTGTTTTGTATTTGATTACTGTATTTTATTTATTTATTTAGTTTGTTGGGGTGCTTTGTTTTTTGCAGGAGTTTGATCTTGCTGATCTTTAGAGGGACTGTAATTATAATGATTTGTGGGAGAGTGGGAATTGGGGTATGCTTTTGTACTTGTTTGCTGGAAAATTATGGACGGTGACCGAAAAATGGCCGTTCCTCATGTTGATGGGTCTGTTGATGGTGCTCAGAAACTTAAAGCAGCATTGCATGGGTAATTTATAAGAGTCTGCTATGTGTTTTGTTGTCTTTAATTGCATTGCTATCAGTTTCTTGTTTTGAATATGTTAGATGGAGGAGTTTGGAAAGCAAGTATAAAAATCTCGTTTTGAAGAAATTTTTACTTCATTTTAAGTCTTTTTAATGGTGAAATTGGTATCTGTAGCATCCTTTTGATCATATCTTATATATATTTGTATAACGTTTGTATTGTGTGATTCTCTTGATTGACAAATTATAGTTGGTGCTTCTTCTGTGTCTTTACTGCTAGCTACAAGGCATTATTTGTTGGTGTCTAGCACTTTTAGCCTCTTGATAATCAACATTTTTATCATTGAAGAGTCAAAATTTCTTTATTAACATGTTCTTTTCTAGAGCGAAAGTTACTAAATTATAATTATAATACGTGACAGTTAAAAAGTTCAATTTCAATGGTTTACTTATCATCACTTTATGCCTGTATTGTGTCTGTGTCTTCCCATTTCATTGAATCACTAAAGTTCAACTGCTGATATTTCATAGGTGTGAGTTGTAGTAGGTAACCTTATTAAGAATCTTCTTGCTTTAGACATTAATGTTGGGGTTAAGGAGGTTTTTGCTAATTGTTAAAATTCTATTTGTAGGAGGACTACTGGTCCTACAAGGCGTTCTACAAAAGGGCAATGGACTTCTGAGGAGGTGATGCTTTGGATACTTGAACAACATAGTTAATCTTTCTTCAGTTTGATAATGATATGCCACTTATCTGAACTGGGTTTACCTCTATTTAGCCACTCAATGTTTTATTTACACGGCAATGATATGCCCACTTATTGAGTACAACGAACTTTCATTTGATTCTAGTTTCTTTTTTTTTGAAATACTTACAAAATCTCTCTAGATTGGTCTTTTTTAGCCTGCCTTTGATATAGTGAGACATTTAGAATTTTGGATATTGCAGTTTTTCCATTTTACTACCTTTTCATTTTGAAGGTTTTACTGATAATACAAAAAATGCATGATAAAGTTATAATGAGGGTTTAATTTTTAATATTATTCTTCTCCTTCAGGACGAGACATTGCGGAAGGCTGTTCAACGTTTCCAAGGAAAAAATTGGAAAAAAATAGGTAGCATATTGATGTTTCAACTTATATATATATGTGTTTATGTATGTATGTATGAAATGAAATTATTCTTTACCAATCACCTCTGGTAGGCACTGGTTTCTTTTTGAAGTGCACATTGCACGTGTCCATACTTAAATTATATGCCTCCAAGGAGTTTCCTCAGTTACACATTGTGGTAGACTTAATTTAATTGCATGGATTTAAATGAATTAAAAAAACTTTGTACTGTTGGGGTGTGTTTTTTCAAAATTGAGTGTCGATGTAAAGAGCATATAACCAAACTTTAGGTCCTCAAAACCTGTTTTGTAGTCTACTTTCATATTTCGCCAGCTTTTTCTTTTTTGTCGGTTCATTTTTCTACATGTTAATCTTCTTAAAGTGGTGTTTAGCTTATGCAACTTCGTTTTGATACATTTTGTTTCATGACTTGTCTAATTGCTACTTATATATGTCTGAAGCGGAGTGTTTCAAGGATAGAACTGATGTACAATGCTTACATAGGTGGCAGAAAGTGTTGAATCCTGAACTTGTTAAAGGGCCATGGTCTAAAGAGGTAGGCTATATCTCCCTTTTATCTTGTGTGTTAATATCTCTACATGTAGAAGTGGTTCTTTATCTTTTAGTTTTTACCTTACCTAACCATAAACCAGTAACTGCTATTAGAGCTTCTTTGAGCATGTGAGCTACATTTCAATCCTTGGTTTCCTCATTATTTTGATGTAGCCTTGGGTTATATCAACTTTCTAGTTATATGTATATCTACTAAACCAAATATGTAAATAGGAAGATGAAGTGATGATTGAATTGGTGAACAAAATTGGGCCTAAAAAGTGGTCAACTATCGCACAACATTTACCTGGGCGTATCGGGAAGCAATGTCGAGAAAGGTATGGGTGTTGGATTTCTCTAATTCTTTCGTATATCATCAAAGTGTCTTTTGCTCACAATTAGTTTTCCCTATTGGGATTATTTATCCCTATAACCTTGTTAGATTAACTGGAGAATATCGCATGAGATTTGTAGTTGTATGTTTAGAGCATCTTTATTCTTATAGCCTTGTTAGTGAGTACCTAGAAAATATCCCCAAATGTCACTATTTTATTTTGTCTATGATATTTTCAGTTTTTAAACTTGAGTTGTCCTTCATTTCTTTTCCTTTTTCCCCATTGAGTTTTTTAAGTTTCCAGGCAATTGTATACATTTTGTTTGTTTTTGCAAACAAATCTTTCCGCTAGTGGACACTGGCAAGAACTTTGGAATGCATTGAGGAGGAGAGCGTAGATTGAAGACAAGCCAGAAGCATCTGGTCTTGTTTTGTTGGTCCCATTCAAAATTTACGAAGCTAACTCTACCTTCGTTGTGACCAGCTTTAGATAGAATCAATGTTGAATTAGTGGACAAAACAGTTAGATATAATTCAAGCGCCTTGATCACCGGCTCAACTTGTTGACACCATAAGAGAAGGCTATTGCCGTCCAATTATAGTGAAATTGAGTGCAAGAGGGCTAGAAAAGCTGACTCCGGGACTGACCTTTGCCAGAACATTGTTGAATGGTGGTACTCAAATCTGAGGAGTTTCATCAGAATTTGGTGGAGGGGAAGGAGGTGGATGTTCGGTGACCCTTTTGATAAAATAGCTAGATACTCCCTCAATTCCTTTGTAATTGTCACTTTTAAACTTTTTCCACATACCAAGAAAGATAATCATTGTTGTTACTTTTTAAACAATAAGTTTCATTTTACCTATAATACCCTTAATTATTTGTTACATGCATTTGACTTTTTCTCTCTCTCTCTCTACATTAAATGATTAGGGGTAATTTTGACAAAAGTGCAATTAATACTACCTTAAACTTTGTAAGTGACAATTAAAAAAGAACAACAAATTCTTCAAAATGTGACACTTAAAAAGGAAGGAGGGAGTACCATACTAGATTTTAGGGAGAATAAATGTTTAATTCTGCATTGAAATTGTGAAAATGATTCTTACACACTGCAGAGCAGTTACAGTTCTGTATTTATTGAGAAGCCTAGGACCCCAGCTAACTGAGGTAGTAGTTACCTAACAGAGACTAACTGTGTGACTGCTAAACAAAGCTAAATAATATACAACCAGATGTTGAGTACTAGAGGAGACACTCATGGTGGTTAATATTTAATGCTTTTCCGTTCTCTTTCTTCTATAACAGTAAATCTATACTTCTCAACAGGTGTCGTTCACAAATCATATTGTAGGAACTATTTTGAAGTATATTTGGGGTGGTGGTGCTCATTTTCGTTAGTATATTTTGTAAAATCTTATTAGGTGGCATAATCATCTTAATCCTGCTATAAACAAAGAAGCATGGACACAGGAAGAGGAGTTGGCTCTAATACGTGCTCATGAAATTTATGGGAATAAATGGGCAGAATTAACGAAGTTTTTGCCTGGAAGGTAAGTTCATATTTAATTATATTTCTATTCAGAAGATGTAACATGCTTGACTTCCATCTGCGGTCATGGGTCTTAATCATGTATTTTCTGGGACTGATTTCATCAGATACCAAAGTACTGCTGGTTCTGATATGATATAAACACAATACACAACTTAAATTTTAACTTAGTACTGCTGGGTATTAGAGTTATAAGGGTAGTTCTGTAATATCCTGTAAAAAAAGGAATTAGACTAGTTCTCTCTCTCTCTCTCTCTCTCTCT